GTGCTTCCAGTTTGAAACCTGTCCAGCGCCCAAACGATTGTCATACTCAAGTGGTGGGGGCGTAACTGCCGTCCAAGTTAGATGTAGACGTAGACGCCCAGATGGTATGCCTATATATCATCTCATTCGAGATTACTCATTTCATGGAAAATGGTATTACACGTATGCCTGTAGTTTTTATATCTACGAAATGGAAGTTGCCCAAAGTAGGACCAGGCAACTTAAAGCGCTGTTCTTGTTGCTGGGAACTCTTGCGGACGTATAAGGGTGGTGGGCATGAACGGGGAGCCTGGCGCCGAAGGGGAAATAGTACAGGAAACAAGGGTGAGACGTTTTGCCTGGGTGGGTTTTTCAGAACGGACCAAGCTGGAAAAGGAAACGGTTCTCTGTGGCCCTGGTTTGCTGTTACGCGTCCATGAAGTTAGCAGTCAAGTGTCATATGCAAAACAGATAAAAGTTACTGTGACTGTAATGAAAGATGAGTAAGTTATGCCAAAAGCACATAAAAACACAATTGGGTGAGGTATCCGCTGCAGAAGGAAACTTGCTCGGCTACAGAAGTAATCGCCGTCTACTGTAGGTGTCCTGGTGGTGCACACGCAGTGCCTCCCGAGCAAACAGTAACGGAAGCACTGCGCTCTCGATCCTGCCCGCTCCGGGCTGCCACGCGTCCAGGGCGCCCCCCGGGGTGCCCAGCCGGGAAGTCTGGCCTGCTTTCTCTGTGGCCCTTCAGATGCGTGCAGTGACATTTTCTTAGCAGATTTGTGATGGTTAACAGTTTCACATCATTATTTCTGTCCCTCTTTGCAAACAAAGTAGTCAGTGGAAATGGCGATCCCTAGGCGTTCATGGTTCCCGGAGAGACGGCCGGGTCGTGACCTTGGTTCTCCGGACGGGGAATTGGTGTATGGTTTCCTTGGCCTGCATCTTAGAGCCTGCTCCTCCTCAGCATGCCTGACAGACATGATCTTTATTTTTAATGGCTATGTTTTCAATGAGTGAAACACGAAATCATCTTTTAAACCAGGCTGAAGTTTTAGTGATTTGGAAACCACATCACTAACAGCCTAGCTCAGCACATGTAGGCTGCTTCCGCTCAGCTCCCTGATAGCAGCCACATTTGCGTTTAAGTTTGGTTTCCTCTTCACGCGCGGGTTTTGTGGTGGGCTCTGCATCCGGGATCTCACGGGTCGTGTTAGGCAGGTGTTGGTCACCTGTGTTTTATGGATGACAAGGTCACAGAGGTTACAGGACTCACCTGAAGTCGTAGAGGTGGCTTGTGTCAGGGGTGAGATTTGAAAGCAGAGCTCCCAGTGCCACAGTTTTGGTGACCTTTTCACCGCGTGAGTCAAGGCGAATTCGTTATAGAAGTCTTTCTAGAAGTTATTTTCTGTCAAGTGAGTTCCATGTTTCATTATTAAGTAAACCCACAGACATACAAAAAAAGAGATATTCAGTGGTGGGCGGAAGTAGCTTTACAGTTGTAAGTATGCAAAGCACAGTTAATTCTTGTATTATTATTTACTTATTAGTTATTGTATTACTTATTATTATTAACCTGCTTTTGCCCACCCCTGTATTCCCGTAGAATAAAAAAATACATACGATGCCCCGATAACAAAATCACATGTAAGAATATAACATGCCTTTATTATCGTATACGTTAAGGGAAATAACTCCCTGATAAACCAAGAGTAAATTATGTCAAATACTAAGTCTGCAAACATGGATGTTAATAAGTGCCATAGTTAAAATACATTAAAATAAGACTCTGTAAAAGTAAAGCCATACACAGATGACTTGGTGGGTAAATTCCTCAGTTTAAGAATTAGGCCAGTGGTATTTGAAACTGAGGGAAATTTATCTTGCAAACTTAGGCTATCGAAAGTCTTCCTACTGTGCTGAGCTGCCTCGTTCCACCTTGAAATGAGCAAATGACAAGTCTAACGGAGAGTCACTCAGCGGCGAAGGATGGAAGGCAGGCAGCCGCCCGGTGCGGCCGTGGGAAAAGCCCCCACCTGCCCGCCCCTCCTCGCCGCTCCCTGCGCCCCGCTCGCTCTCCGCAGCCTGGGCAGGGGTGCTGGGCGGCGGGGCCCGCGATGCAGGAAGTCTCAGGCATCTGGGACTGACTTCCGCTGAGTGAGCGGCCCTGTTCCCTGACTTCTGTGCTCTTTTGTAAAGCGTTACCTTTTTTTTTTTTTTTTTTTTTTAATTTTGCTTTCCGAGGTGGCTCGCAGACTCGATGGGAAGATAAGGGCTGGCCATTACCTTATCAGACATTACACGGCCTTAGTTTTAAACATTCCCTCTGCACAGGCCTGTTTACAGCTCTCAGGCCCAGCGGAGACAAGCGGGGGCAGGAGGGTGGATTGCGGCCCGAGGCTCTCGTTTGCTGGAGAAAAATTGCTGCCAGATGAGCGGTTTCAAGAGCCCAGCCGCCGATGTGGCCGGAGGATGAAAGGGAACGCAGCTTCTCCTCTCTGTCCTAAATGTGTGTGGGAGAGGTAATGGGGTTTCCTGGGCATGTGCATTTCCTTCTTCTAGGGGGTAAATTACAGGTAATACGGGGACATCCTCTGAGGAAATCTGTCAAGTGCAGGCCGAGGGGACAGATGGATGGAGTCGGAGAAATGCGCCCCAGGCCTCCGGCGTGTCGTAGTGTGACTGAAGTCCTGGCGTCTCATTTGTCTCCTGGTGATTAAACACAGGAATGCATGGGGCACACATACATAGCGAGTCCATCAGCAGCATTTGGCATAAATAGCAAAGCAACCACAGGTGCCTTCACAAGCTTAAGTTTCATTTTATTTTAAATTAGTGCCTGCCCTGGAAGCGTTCCAGCAGGAGCAGTCTCATGCAACAGCAAACACCCGCGCCTCTGAGCCGGCCACGCCCTCATCGCGCTGCTTACAGGGGGTGACAAAGGGCCCTCCCAGGTCCCCCGCTCCAAATCTGATCAGCTGCAGTAAGGTAGTGAGGCCAGGACGCGTTTAAGTCAGAGTTTCCAAGATCAGAAACGCAGACAGGATCTCCGCAGGAATCGTTCATTCTTTGGAAAACAGGGCTGGAGAAATGTCTGAACATGTTCCCAGTAGCCTCTCTTCAAAAGGAAGCTTAATATGGCTCAGATAATAAACTTGCCTTATTAACGTTTTAATTTACCAATCCTCACTGTGCGAAGTTACATATTGATAAATAGTTTATAACCACAAATTGCCTCCCAAACTATTTACTTGCCACCTTTTGATAAATGGAAGTTCTTTTTCAGGAGGTAATTTCTATGGAGGTAGCTCTCCCAGGGGGCACCAGGAAGCTGGCACCCCCTCCTCCACCCAGACGAGCCCCACCGGGCTCCTGTGCATCAGACAGGGTGGTAGACGGCGCTGAAAGGACAGATGGACAGGCTGGTAGCCCTAGTTTTTCCTGCCGCTACCCACAGAGACCCGGAGAAGGTGCCAGGGTGGGCCCATCCGCCTTATTCTCCTCGGTCCCCCTAACCAGGAGCCAGCTTCTTCTTCTTATGGGGGATGTCCCCTCCCCCTCCCCGCTTAGGGCTCTCAGTCCCTTTCCGGCCCGCAGGACCCTCATAAAGTCCTTTCCTCCTTGAGCTCCTTTCGGGAAATAGCTTTCTTTTTGGGTCTGGGCTACCGAGAGGACACGTATCTTTTCTTGCTAAAACCTCGTTGTTACCTGGGCACTGGGGGCCGGGAGCAGGAGAGGTGTCGGGGGAGGGGCAGGGTCACAGCAGAGCACCTGCCTTAGAAAGGTGCTTTCAGGAGCACTGCACCTGTTTCGTATGAGCCCGTGACGCCCTTTGGCTAACCAGACCCCCACCCTCTCATACGGGGAAAGGGGGAGTGAGCCCTTCAATGGAAGTATTTCTAGCATTTACAGAAAAGTGCACGGATCATAAATGCACGTCTCAATGAGTTCTCACAAATACAAGCGGCCAGGTAACCAGTCTCCAGATGCGGTTTATCTTTTTCTAATAATATTTCCCTCCTGATTATAAGAACACTTTGTAGCAATATTGGAAAATTTAGCCAAGTGTAACCAAGAAGATACAATCCTCTCATTGTATCTACTGCCCCCCAAACGGCCACTGGTAACATTTCGCGGTGCTCGCGCCCGTCGGTCGGCCCCACGCCCTCGCACGCACAGACGTGTGTGCCCGTAAACACACGCCCACAGCACCGCGGCCTCCGAAGCCTTACACACAGGAGTTCCAAGTAGGTGCGATACCATGACACACAGAGTTGTGGAAATTTCACTGCCCGGTTGTTGGCTTCATCAGCAGAGTGTCCAGGAAAGAATGGGAAGCCGAAAACTGTTGCAGGAAGGGGCCGTGTGTGTGTGTGTGTGTGTGTGTGTGTGTGTGTGATTCCTCCATCTCACTTATTCAGTATCTTCCCATCTCTCAGAATACGTAGCAATGATGATTTCTTTTTTCTTTTCTTTTTCTTTTTTTAATTAGCTCTCCACCAGATACTGAAACAGGCTTTAATCACAGGGAGTCAAAACATTGGGCGTGGGCCAGTGGTTTTGCGAGTTGCAGGAAAGTGCTCTCTCCATCACTCCTGAAATGGATGAGCCGATGCTCTCACGTGCTGGCAGCTTTGGTCCTCGCCGACTTTCCCGCTCTCATTGTCAGGAAGGTGGCAGTTGGCACCAGCTTCCTGTCGCTCTTGGTGGTGTAGGGCATGTTGCCCACTTGTCCCCCGGCCAGCCACAGGCTCAGCATCCGCAGGGTTCCTTGTACCGTGGAAGGGGGAGGGGACTGTCTCTCAGAACAGCTGGTGCCTCTCTTTTTGTAACATATATTTCCTTTTCTTACACACATGAGATTTGCGTTATTACCCATCCAGAAACTTCATTGGGTGTTCATATTTGTAAAATGCCTTCCCAGCTCCCTCCTTGGTCCTTGCGCATGGATGATGTTCACAAGCAGTATGGAGTGGCCCGTTGTGTTCACGCGTGTTCTCGTTGTGTTGTCTTTGCAGTCGAAATCAGCTGTCCGCCCTGCCCGCCTGCCTGTGTGCTCTGCCTCTCAAAGTCTTAATCGCAAGTAACAACAAGCTTGGATCGCTGCCGGAAGAGATAGGTCAGCTCAAACAGTTAATGGAGTTGGTATGTTACTGATTTTAAGATGCTCTTTTTTTTTCTTTTCTTTTTTTTTTTTTTTTTTGCTTGTTTACTAATCTATCGAGGGTACCAGAGAGACGTTGTGTTACAGTCGGACAAGGAGGGGCCTGTGTTGATAAAGCCGTGAAGGAGGGGGAGGAACACTCCTGGCTTCGCTGTAACAGACACGGTCCCCGAAAGTTCCAGGTTTCCTGTCGTTGACACTTCCTTAGGTGTGCAGCAGTCACGGCTCCTGAAGTTTACAGGTTACCGCACGCTAGCTAGATCATTTTTTTTCCCCCACAGTGAAAGTGAGTTTGTCATAAATTATGGATAAACTGGAAGACTGACGTACAAGTAAGTGACTAGGCCCCACTTAATGAATGTATATAATTAAGTTGCAAGACCGAACAGAGTGCCCTGAATCTGTAAGGCTTGGCGTCACCATGCCCCAAATTAACGCAACTTTAAAAGGGGACCGTATCCCCAGGGATGGAAAAGAACTCATTGTAGACCGGCAGGCATGGGTGGTGTGTGTGCCTGAGCCTCAGACGCCCGCCTGGATCGGCTCCTCCTCTCCTGCTTCTGCTCCTGACCTGGTTTCCTAGGAGGGGAAAGAAGGAATCCTTCCCAGGCCTCCATGGAGCCAAAATGGCAGGAGGGAGAGGCAAGAATGAGCCTTCAGGGTAAAACCTAAGAGACATAATGTGCCCTCCAAGCAGCATTATTTCATACTGACCTTGTGTGGAGCCCAGAGTGAAATGCTGTGATTGCAACCATGAAAAGGACACGGGACCTTCCTTCACGTAGACTCCAGTCTGCAACGTGGCTGGCCGGTGACTCTTCCCCTGCGCCACCTCTGGCTCCTCTCGGTGGGGCCACCTGGAACCACGTAGGGGTGGCTGGGGCGGTCCGGGGCGGTCCGGGGCGAGGGCTGCGACTGCTTAGTCGTGTCTGCTGCGAGGACCGGCTACGAAGGGTACGGCGCCCACGGCCCGCGTGTATCGCCTTTTACTCGAGTGTGGAGATGACTTACTGCCACATCGCAAGATGACTGACTCCTTAGCGCTATAAGGAGTGCCTTTTTCATGACTTGGCTGCCGGCAGTTTATGGAACCCGTCCCCGCTAGCTGACGCCAGGGTTTGGGGAGGCTTAGAGGGATGCAGGGGTCTTCCCGTCACTCAGTGTCAGGACATTTGATCGGGGGTCATGTGACAACGAGAACAAGACATCGGCAAGTTGTCAAGCACCGTGGCTGTGGTTCATGTCTATGAGCTTTCCCGCCTCTGCGTACAGTGGAGAAGGGGCCTGGCCCACAGACCCTGAATTTAAATGTCCTCCCAGCTGAAGCACTTAGCAAGGACCTACTGGCAGGTCTCAGCCCCGGTTTCTAAGTGACAGAGGCAAGGTTGAGTCTGGTGGCCTTTCCTGACTCACTCAGTAACACCCAAGGCACATGGTCACGTTGCCCTGACCTGGCTGCTCAGCTGCCTTGGAGGGGAGCAATTCTGAAAGAAGATGGTTCTTCGTTGGGCCCCTCCCCCCAAAGGTCTCTATTACAAGAAGTATGTTCACAGGGAAGGGAACGATCGATTCAGTCCTGGCGCGGGGAAAGGTTGTACGGGAAGGGCCCTTTGAGAGGTCCCTTCCGTCGGTCCTTGTGGGACTTCTTAGACGGAAAAAGAGAAGACAGACACAGAAAGGCCTTCAAGGGATAAGGGATAAGGGACGCCACCAGCTCCGCCCACACCTCGGAAACTGCTGAGGGCAGGGGCTGAGTCTTACTTGCGGTTGTATCCCTGGGCCTGGTCCATGAGCAACACCCCGAACTGTGTGCTGGGTGCTGCTGTCAGTCAAGGTACTGCCGAAGGTGCGCCTTTCACTTGCTCCAGGAAAGGAATGCAGAATAACGCTTTGGATGAAACTGAGCGTTACATGCTTTCTTAAAAAAAAAATGCTTTAGGAGCCTGATAAACAACATATGACTGACATTTTCCCCCGCTCGGGGCTCCTTCTGGAGCGCGTTTCTGCCCCACCGCACCCCGGGCTTGCGGCCACGGCGTGCCAGGCCCGGGGATGCCACGCCAGAGCCAGGCGTCCCTCCAGCACCCTCGTCCGCTGTGGGGCTCGGGGAGCAGCCCCGCCTCCTGCCGGGGGCACGCGGGCGGCTGCAAGGGCTACCCCGAGCTTGTCTTGGGCGCCTCGTCGGGAGCGCTCGCCGAGGCCGCCCGTGACAGCAGGGTCATGAGCTGGCTCCTGTGTCTTTTCTCCCCCAGCAGTAGCTCTTGAACCCTTGAGTCCTGGAACATTAGAGCCAGTGAGGTTTTAAAAGGCATCGAACCCAAGGTCTTGACGTCTTAGCAAATGACAGAACCGAGGCAGGAGACAGCAAATGACACATAGGACCTCACGCTGGTGTAGTTACCTCGGACGTTGGAAACCCCTCAGCCAGCCCTGTGCAGGGGAAAGGTAATGCAAACGACAAGTGTAATTTTAAATGTGCTGGTAGCTACACTTAAATACATAAGCAAATAAAATATATTTTAACCCGATATAGCCAAGATATTACGGCAGCATGTATGCAATTTAAAGTTGATGAGATATTTTGTATTTTTTTGTGTGTGTTAAGTCTGAGAAGCCTGGTGTGTATTCACGCTTACCGCACTTCACAGAGTGGATGGTCACGTATGTTGGCCCTAATAGCCTCATGTGGCCCGTGGCGACCACCCTACTGGACAGGCAGCCTGTGCTCTTTCCACTTCACTGACCCTTGTGTCAGCAAGCACGACCTCTGTAAAAGGCACTTATTTGTGACGTCGGTAAAAATGCGGTCAGTTGCCATTATTTAACCACAAAGGGTAACTGGCCTTGCTTAAGGTCACAGGCTAAAAAAAGATTAGTTTCCATCTGTTCTTATTTATCTTTAATCTTTTTCTTAAAATAGTAGCGTTACTGTAGTTAAGCATATCCGATGATTTCTCACTCTCAATTGGAGGAAAATTCTCAGGAGAGCCTAAAGCAAGTCTAGCCTTTTGTGGGCAGCTTCTGTTTCGTGCTACATAGTGACCAGCTTGTTTAAAAACATGGGTGCTCCCCGAGCATTGAGGGTACCCTCAGCCACCTCGACGCTGGTAAAAATCTCTCAGCTTATTGGCTCAGCAGTGTTTAAGGATTTTGGAAGAAATATTCTTAATTTTTCACATTAGACTCAGAGTATCCTAAATTGAGTTGTAAATTCTGTATTCTCCCAAGTACCAGGAGAAGATTCCAGAGTCATCATTTGCTTAAAAACAAACAGACACAAAAACACTACAGCCATCTACGAGAAAGAAGATGTCTTTTCTAATTTTTGAAAGTAATTGGAGTGGGAAAAAAATATCTTACCTTCTTTTCTTTTCATTTTTTTTTTTTTATCCTCCCCCGAGGACGCTTTTTCACTGCCTTTAGAGGGAGGGGAAGGGAGAGAGAGAGAAAGACGCATCGACAGGCTGACTTCTTGAACACGCCCTGGGCACAGGGATTGAACCAGCAGCCTGGGCATGTGCCCTGACCAGGAACTGAGCCTGTGAGCTTTCGCTCCAAGGGATGATGCTCCAGTCAGCTGAGCCACATTGGCCAGGGTTATCTTGGCTTCTTAAATGTATCACAATTATCTAAGAATCTTAAAAAAAAAAAGAGCATTGCCATTCATTGATTGGTGTGTCTACCATACGAGGTCGTAGCAGGGTGTCCAACCTTGTGGCGTCTCTGGGCCACACCGGAAGAAGAGGAGCTGTCTAGGGCCACACATTAAATACACTGCAACACATAATCACAAGAAAATTTCATCATGTTTTAAGTAAATGTACGATTTTGTGTCGGGCCGCGGGTATGGCGCCCCCGTAAGGGAATATTGAATAGAGGTTGTTTCTCCTTCCCTGAAGAAAGCCGTTCAGAAGCACGTCTGAGACATCCTTGTCTTAAATCCACAAGAGGGGCCCGGAGAACTCGTGCAGTCTCAGCTCTGCGGAGCTGGCCCTCCGGAGGCGTTTCTGATGGGAAGGATCTAATGGCCACTTTGAGTTACTGCTGTACCATTGTTCCCGCAGCACTGGAGCCACAGGCGCCCGTCGCTTCGGGAGCCTGTGTGTGCGCGCGCTTCCTGCAATGGGAAGAGGTAAAGCACCGGCTCATCCTGAGCACCTGCTCTGAGTCCGGCACTCCTCTGGGACGGGCCGCCTTATCTCATAAAACCCCGACCAGATCCCAGCAAGGCAGCATCTACACAGTACGGCCAAGTCCGAGTTTTGGAAATACTTGCCCAAGGCTGTGGAGCGAGCGTGGTGGAGCGGAGGCGAGGCGTATCCATGTCGTTTCCGCAGCACAACGCGGCTGTATGTGGCATGTCTTCGTCCACGTGGCCCGCCTGTCCTGGAGAAGGGGCTGTGGCTGCTGTCTTCGGTGTTACTGGTTTTCCCATTAACGTTGTGTCAGGTCATGAGCAGCTGAGAGTGAATCAGAGAATGTTACGCAACTGGGGTGTGGTACGGACGGGCGGCCGGAAAGATCCCTCAGCGAGGACCCACGGCCAGGAAGGAGGCTCAGGACACTCCCTTTGTGTTGCCCAAACCTCATTTTACTCACTCACACCATGTTAGCATATCGGAAACATGGTTATTTTGCCGTCAAATCATGCCTGAAGGATAAGGGATGGTAAATATTTGCTAAGAGATGCTGTATGAATGCCATGCGAGGGATGACCCAAAAACCCTGGAATTAATTTATTAAAAATTGTGTATTCTTATATATAGAAACTTCAGTCGCTTTCAAAGCACATTCCATTTGATGCAGTACACCTCTGGAGACGCTTTTTCCCCACTGCTCAAAACAGTTTTGAACGCATTGATTTTGATGCCTTTTAGTGCTTCTGCATTTTTTTTGTTTGTTTGTTTGTTTCACCTCTTCCACATCAGCAAAATGTTTCCCTTGGAGAACTTTTTTCTTCTGGGTGAACAAAAAACACTTGCTTGGGGCAAGATTGGGTGAGTTGGGAGCATGGGGCATGGGGGCCATGTCGTTTTTGGTCAAAAACTGCTGAACACTCAGCTGGGCAGGTGCACTCATAAAGCTCCCATCATGCAATGGGCAAACATGTACCAGAGTCTTCAAAAAAATTTCACTGAAGCCAAACGCAGCCTCTCTCAATGACACCAGCTGGCATATGGATCCAGGTACGTTCCCAGGACACTCACCTAGCAGGGGAAGCCTGGACTCTTAGGGGCCCACCCTCCAGAAGATAATTCCAGTTTTTGGGGATCCCCCCTTGAATATTACTGACAGACAGTTAGGATGACAGCCACATGTAGGACAGAACGCAATAAAGAAATTGGGGACCATTATAGGGCATTTCCCAAAGGGTGAGGCGCTTTCTTTCGTACTGGTTCTGTGCGCATGCTGACATGCTGGGGTTCAGAGATGATCTGTTTCTCGTTCGGTTTTTCTCAGCTCTGTCTTTCCCTGCGTCATGCAGCATGAAAACTCTTCTAGCCCTTGCTTCATGTGTGAGAACTCAGTACCACTGACTGAGGAACCTGCTCCTACAACCAAAAGCACACAGGGCCTGGCTCAAGTGGTAACTCACCGGAAGGTGCGTTTCCTGGTCCTGACTAAACGCATCCGTTTTTATCCTCTTTTCCTGGAGTGTTCGGTTGGGTGGAGAGTGTGAATTCAAGGACTGGTCATAGACTCAGGCCTTACTGAGCAAAATTGAACTGGCGGCCCATGCAGAATTTAAGTTTGACTCTTTATGTGACTGTATAATAATTAGATTTACTTCTGTGTCAAGAAGAGCAGAACTAGTAAATATCTATGACATGGTTATGATGATTCATTTTTTGATCTACCTATTTGTAATACTGTAACACTAAATATATGGTGATTTGATTTCACCGAAGCTTGGAATAATTTCCCGTCACTAAGACATAGCTTAGGGGCTAATAGATAATTCAGAAGGAATTCATTTGACTCTTCTAAACCACTGAATCTATAATTCACAATTCATAGCTTGGTAAATTCTAAGGGACTTCAGAAGCGTGAGTCATTAGTGTTTTTTAAAAGTAATTTTCTTAAATCTTCTTTTCTTTAATGAACTAAAACAACAACAGCACTATTTTATCTTGGGCCAACTGTGAACAGACATGTTGTACAGAGCCAGGCCATTCCAGGAATATTGCTTTTGCATTTTCTAAGCAGAATATCTTATCCCCAGGCATCTTCGATGAGCCTCTCCTTACTCCTCCTCCTCATTCCCCAGCTAATGATGACATAATAACAAATGGGTTTTATTTTCGTGACAAAATTTGTAACCTCTTAAATTTGGCAAGTTCAATAACTGGGAGGGATGAGAGTTTTGCTTGGTTTTCTACAGTATTGACTATACAGTAATGACCAGTCTTTGTCCCACTTGCGAGCTCGACGTGCCTGGGCGTGTTTTCCATACGATTTTGGCAGGATCGGAAGGAACGGACAGCACCGCGGAGAATCAGTAAAATAATTTGACCTTTCACCAGCTACCCTTCAAAATGTGAACGGACAGCTGGACTCTGTGTTCATGATTGTCTGCAGAGGGCTCATCCCGTGAGTTGGAAGCAGAAACTTCCTTTTGTTGTTATGTGACACTCCTTAAAAAATAGGAAGTGAGTGGGTGACCGTTTTCCCTACTGACAGAGAAGTATTTAAATACAGCGGAGGGAGTTGCTCTCCTTTGGTAATCCATTGTGTTAGAAATGTATGTTGGAAAAATTACTTGTACTTCGAGAAACCAGGACACCCGAAACTCTGGCTAACCAGGCGGTACTGACCAAAGCGCGAGATGACGAGAGAACACACGAAAAAATGGCACAAAATTCTCATTAGATTTCATGCTGCGAATATGCTGCCTAAATATGGCTGTCATCTTTTTTCTTCCCCTCCTTTTTTTTTTTTTTTTTTTGAGAGAAGGATGTCTTTAAAAATCAGGTCCTTAAAACATCTTTAACTTGTCAGTTTCAGGTTGAAAGTGTGTGATTCCCCTGAACTACAAATAGGTGTTTCTCACACTGCCACTCACTGACTTGCAGAAGTTCATTTTTGTCAACTGCATAAATTCTCTCTAGAGATGGAAAAGAATTCCCACTAATTCTCCCCCTCCCCCCAAATGTCACCGACGTGATTTTACGAATCCAATAGAATGATTTAATTTCCTTTATCTCTAGGGCTTGCCTGTGTATCCTTGTACGAGGGCTCTTTTAAAATAGAATATTTGTAACTTGGTTAAAGCAAAGGAAGACGCAGCTTTTGTGGGAGGGCTTGGTTGTGGACTCCTGTGACTGATCAAATGCCATCGGCGTTGGGAAGAGAAGGCATTTCGCCTTTCGCATCTCGTGCCTGGAAGGTCACTCTGAAAGGCAGAGAACTGGCTGACTCAGTGCGGTGCAGAGAGCGACCGAGCAAATCTCCGGACCTCCTCACCCTGTAATCGCTTCCTTGGACGTTGACGTCTCCGCAGATGTGCTTCTGGGTTGGTTGGTTTGTTTTTTAAACACCAGAGATGTTTTTCATACAATTTTGTGTGACTTTTTTGGGCCGAGAGCCATGCAGCAGCAGCCAGCTTGGGGGTGATGCCATGGACCACCTAGTGCTCAACACCCCGTCGCCCCCTGCCCCCCGTTGGACAGCCGAGCAGAGAACAGTGTGCAGGGCTGACAGCGCGCTGTGCCTTCAGCCTTTACAGATCGCGGCCGCTTTCTCTTTGGCAGCGGTGCTGTTACTCCTCTTCATCAAGTGATACTCATTTGGTATCCCCATGACCTGGGCAGGTTAGCAGGGCCCCGGGGTGTTTACATGGGATGAGGTTAGAGGGCAGCAGTGCGTTGTGTTCTGCATGGCCCTGCTTTACGTGGAGCTTGGGGTTTCCAGGGACTGGTCAGTAGTGCGTGCGCCTCATCTACAGGAACCGGAAACCGGTTTCTGAAATGAGGCTTTGCCGCCTTCTAAACGGGGGAGGGAGGGGGGGGTCTTTGCAGGTTCGGCAGTGATGTGGGATTTTTAAGGGTTTGACTCCTTGGGATCGTTCATAACCCAACTATATCTGTGGTTCTGCGATACCAGTAAGTGCAAGAGACGCGGAGAGTACGTTGGAGCACCCGCTGGTCCCACCCAGGAGACAGAACAAACGGCAGCATGATGGACTGGCAATGGCAATGCACTGAGGAATCGTATCCAATGTTTATTGATCCCTTACCTTACACCCGGCATTCTGCTCAGCACCCGGAGGATGGAGTGAATAAGTCACGGTCTCTTCCATCTAGGAGCTCCCAGACGCTCAGGAGAAGAGAAACATTTGAGCAGATGAGTGCACGAACAGACTCTCTGTTGCACCGCAGAGGAAGAGCGGTCAGTCCTCTCTTGTCACTGGATGGGAGCGGGAGAGATGGCAGAAGCCTCAACAGGGCTTCCAGGAGGAGGCGGGGCTTAAATGAAGTCTTGAAAGATGAAGAGGTGGGACAAGAAGACAGTACTTGGGGATGACGTACCAGGCAGGGCAGGAGCCTGAACAAGTTTTGAGACTGTGAAACAGCTTGGCGCCGAGCAGCCTTGACGCCGTTTGGGTGCAGGGTACGAGGGAGGGCCTTGGGGGAGGTGGTGCTGGAGAAGTTCACAGACCCGAACCGCCGAGCGGGGCCTTGTGCGGAGTCTGGGGTTTGGGGCTGCAGTTGAGCTGTTGCAGGTGTTTAGGCTGGTGAATGACACAGTGAAATGTACACTGTGTGACTTTTTACCCTGGGCAGGAGGAGTCTGGGGAGAGGATCAAAGAGCGTGGAAACCAGTCCGCAGACCGAATGCTGGTCTAGACCGACGGAGCTGCTGGGGTGAGGGGCGGGAGAGCAGGGCGCAGCTGCCAGAGCCACGAGGGAGAGCGGGGTTGGGGGGATAACAAGGGCATGTGAGGTTTAAAATGCCATGCCTCCGTTTTGCACGTGTCAGGAGGTGGTTCAATCAACAATTAACAGAATATGCATCTTCCAAAGCAAAGAAGATCCAATCTGCACTCCCCCCAGACTTGCTTGTAAATGTAGGGAAAGGTGTTCGGGTCCTAGGTTGAACTTTATCTTCCGTGAATAGCATGTCCAAACGGTGCCTTGGTATGTGGCGTTTTTTACGGTAAGAGGTGAGCCTTTGGTAAGGGGGGCAGGACATGTTCTCTTCTGGTCAGAGGTCCCGCGGGAGCGTGGCCCAGAGAGTGGCTGACAGCGGGCTGCTGATTTGTCCCGCCTGCGAATCTGGCACTTGCAAGCCTCAGGCAAGTGACTTGACTTTTCTGAGGCTCGTTGTTGTGATCCGCAGACGTTGGGGTAGTCAGGCTGCCTTGTGAGTTTCAGGGGAGAACGAAGCGATCCCGAAGCCTGTGCCCGCGGCCGAGTGGCCACCACGTCCTTCTCCTGTTTCCTCTCCTCTGAGGTTGTAGGGGCTGACTTCTCCTTTTCGTCTCTGCACGCAGCCTTCCTCGGCTAGGACCCTGGGGATCCTTAGGAAAGCCTATCAGTGTCATTGTCCTCACGTTTAAACCTGTCAGGGCGCTGTCGCTCGAGGAGGTAGATTTCCCGGGAAAGGCGTTTCTCACTCTCTCTCTCCTCTTCGGCTGCAGGACGTCAGCTGCAACGAGATCACAGCCTTACCGCCACAGATCGGGCGGCTGAAGTCGCTGCGCGAGCTCAACGTCAGAAGGAACTACCTGGAGACGTTACCGCAAGGTAAACAAGGCAGAGGGGGCAGTGAGTGAAACGGGAGACTCTGGGTATTTTTCTGTTGGCTTGGGTGTTTGTGTTTGCCTTTTGCTGTTAATGATCATTTGACTGTCACATGCACGGAACAGGCAAGTTATAGGCATGACGCCCTCTGAGTCAGGGGGCATAGAAGCAACCTCTCCCCTGTATAAGACCCCGACCCCGTGTGTGCACGCGCACGGCATGCGCACGTGTGAATTTGCTGGGGCTCCCGTAACAAAGCACCACAGGCGGAGCGGCTTGAACAACAGGAATGTGTTTTCTTGTGCTTCTGAAGGCTGGAAGTGTGAGATCACGGTGTTACCAGCCTCTCTCCTTGGCCTGTAGACGCCTGTCCTCTGCCCTCCGTCTGTGTCCTAATCTCTTCTTAGCAGGACACCAGTCCTCCTGGATTAGGGTCCACCCTAATGACCTCATCTTTAACTTAATTCCTCCCTTTAAAGACCTGGTCTCCAAATGCAGTCCTGTTCTGACGTACGGGGGGGTCAGAGGTTCAGCATAGGGATTTGGGGGCACACCACTCAGCTTGCAACAGGGGGCAGCGTGAGTTGCTTGGGTATTGACCTGTGATGTTCTGGGACATGGTGCCAGCAGTTTAGTTGACATGCTCCATCTTGTGGATCTGACTGCCAGAGTTTCCGGTTGGGGGGATCTGGCTGGAAACTCCTGTGTCTAAAGCCTGATCTTCAGAGGAAGGCGCTGCCCCTGCTGGAGTGACATTTGGACGAATGTCACTGGTGGTCTGGGTGGCCTTTGTGAAGCCCCTCCTCACCCAGCTCTGCTCTGGAGCAGATGCGGGCCTTGCAGCTGAGGGCTTCCGCAGGCGGCCGTCCAATGTGCTGACTCAGAGTTCAAGTCGAAAGACATGTTTATTCAGAAATCTCAGACTATTAAGAACTTTGACGATCGGCCTCGTAGGTGGTAGTGGATCTGAACCTCATGGTTTGGGATTCTTATCGGGATCTGACACTGAACGCACTCTCCCGAACGCCCTCGGATTTTCAGAGACCGCGTTGATTTCCGTGGTTTTTACAGAGGGACACGGGGCTTGCCAATTTCAGACACATACTTAAAACGCCTCAAAGCACAAATATAAGCTGGCTGGGGCAAAAGTAGCTTTACAGCCATGCATACGTGAAACAGAGTTTATTCTTGTATTATTATTTCTTAATTTTTGTGTTATTGTCCATACAAACAACTGTAAACCTTTGGCCTGCCCTGTACTTGGAAACAGTCAGCATTTGGTTAATCTGACGCTAATGCTGCTATTTTGAGAGCTGCTCCATTTTTATTATTCTGTCCCTGCTTCTCGATCTTTGGCTTGAAGTGCTTCATTATTCGAGGCAGGAAAATGGCGCTGACGAAAGGGAAAGACTTGGAGAAATGAAACGTGCTTTATAGATGGAAGGTTTTAGTTTCTGCCGTATTCACCTTTCGCGTGCTGATGGGCATTTTAAAGAAGTAGAATCAAACAATCTCAGCATAAATATTGATTACTTTAACACTTGAGATGACTTGGTATAAAAATACGGATTTTTCATTTTGTCATTGTCCAATCCCATTTTTGAAGGTTTTAAATTGTTTTTCTTCATTTGGGCAAGTACAAAGGGAAAACTTAAGCGCATAATCTTTCATAGCATGGAAGAAAACATTCATTTCAATTTAAGCTCTACTGTTAATCCCTGAGAAATCATTGTCAATCATTGCATTCTTCTCAAAAGGAAAACTTCATTTAATTGTTTTACAGTTGCCTGTAATAGTTTAGAAATGTGTGGAAAGTACATCCACAGAAATCAAGATTTTTGCTGCTCTCCCCACCCCTTACTCTCTTACCTTAAAAGCATTCCTTTCCCTAAAAAGATCAGTTACAAATTTCTATACTTTCCATAATTATGTTTACTCAGGTTCAATATTTTAAAATCCACTCAAAGCTAAAACATCAGTGTACTGGAAAATCTTTTAAAAAAATAATTTCCTGAATATCACGTTTCCTTTTGCTTCACTCTGGAGAACTCTATTAACAAAAGAGCATTGATAATGCTTTCAGGCAGTGAATTTAAGGACTTTCCATATTTACTTACTTGTTTTTCCTCCTTGAGTCCCCCTCCTCATATGCTTTCAATTTGAGGAGGGGAAGAAACTGTTTATGGCCTAATTACCCGCAGCAATTTGAGTACAACAGCTTCAAGGAGGGACTGTAGTTTCTTCTTTCCACGGCCAGGACTGACAGTGGATTCAAGCAGCCGTTCATTGCCTCTCTCTGTAACACAGAGAGAAGTGAGGTTCCTTTTTTGTTTCTTCTTCTTTTTTACTCCCTTCTTCTACTTTGTTTCTTTTGACCTTTTCTGGGCTGGAGTTAGCATTTTTCTCCCCCATTTTCTTGTGAAACACCCAGATGGTTGGTGCCATTCCTACTTTCTTTACCTGTACGTAGCCTCGCTTCCCCGCTCCTGCTATGTCTTCCAGGAATTCCGCCCTCTGGTTCTGCTTTAAAAGGCCTTCCTTTTAAGTGGCAGAAGATTCCTGAAGATCTAGAGTCCAGGTAGCATTTGGCAGTGATTTGTTACCCAGACTTCTGCGAATAATGTTGATCACGGAGGTCTAATAGCACTAGAGGTTACAGCAAAAAGATGCCCTTTTGATAGATAACCCCTGCAATTCTTACCCGTTTTAGAAAGAAACTATCATGTGAAAAGGGATCTTACTTCTCCCCTCCATTTTTTTTTTCCTGGATCCCAAGCTGCCCTCCAGCTTCACTTACTCCCCTTCTCCGCCTCCTGCTGCTCACGGCCCTCACCAGGACAGCCGTGTGCAAAGGCCAGTCCCTTGTCCCGCTGTTGGCCAGAGAGCTGGGTTTGAGCAGTGAACTTCCTGCCCCTTAAAAAATGCACGTCCTGGGTTCCTCTCACACAGCCGCCCAGCCTGGACCTGAACTTGGGACGTGCCGAGGTCCACGTTCTTCTCCTGCCTTCTTCCCGGCATTTCAGTCCTGGGACTCCTTTCTTTAATATAGACACTCGTGCCCTGAGGTTGCGTGAAAGGAGGGAAGTCCCTCCCAGCCCTGAGCGAGCGGAACTCTGGAGAAGAGACCCTGGCCGCTCGGAAACGCGGGGCCGCGGCAGAGCGGAGCGCAGTGAAAACCCTGGGCCCGGCGGGCAGGGCGGAGGAGCAGGGCGCGTCCTCACCCCTGGGTGCTGCCTCGGGCCCCTCCTCCTTTCCTCGCTCCTGCGCTTCCTCCTCTTTGGAATCCTGAGTATTTGGAAGCACCCTGTTCCACCCCATACCAGGTCCCCTAGCAAATGTGGGAGGCCCGTCCTGAAGCGATGCCCCTCCCCCCTGCCCCCCACCCCTGGAGCCGCTCACACAGAGATCCCAGCGGTTTGTCCCGGGTCACCCTCCGCGTTGGGCGTGGCTCGCCGCGCTGCTGTATGGAATATATTTGACTTGTTTCTTGCAGCTGCCAGTGCCGGTTGGAATGCTTGAAATTACTGAGTGCTCACTGTGCCACTGGGTGGGGATTTGAAGCTAAATATAATGTTCTGTCTGGTTGGGGGAGCTACGGAAGGTTTTTTGAAAGCAGGAGAATAAAGCCCTGTCACGTCAGGATTACAGGGTTCATTGCAAAGTTCTGAATTAGATAGCATTTATTTCTTAAAGTGGAGGGAGAACACCAGGAACGTATTTCTTGCAACTAGTTCCGAGATCATGCCAGCCCAGATACATTAAAGGGAGAAGAATGCTTTATACTTACCATGTTATTTGTATGTTATTAAGAACTGCTTGAAAACATTGGAAGTTAAAATATGTTCTGTGTGGTGTGACTAAGGTGATTGTTTTGCTGGGGGTGGGGAACATTTTTAAACAATAAATACTGTAAATATCAAGTATTTCCAGCTCTTACCAGAACTAACAACAGTTTAAATGTATGGAACTGCCGATGAAAGATTTCACCACCCTGTTGGTTAAATACTATGCCTATACATGTATCCCTCCTGCAGAACTTAATTCTGATTATGCTAAATGACACTTCTCCTGATAAGCAGAAAGTAAACTTTTAAATGTTCGGCCATTAAACCACGTTGTTTTCTGAGTTTTTTCACTTTTTTTTTTTTTCTCTTCTTCCTATAGAGCTCGTAGATCTGCCCTTGGTCAAGTTTGACTTTTCCTGCAATAAAGTGCTCGGGATTCCCATTTGCTTTCGAGAGATGAAGCAGCTGCAAGTACTGCTACTTGAAAATAACCCTTTGCAGTCTCCTCCGGCACAGGTGAGGGGCGGCAGCGGTGGGCAGGGCGGGCAGAGCCGCGTGCTTAGTAGCCTGCCGGCCTGACACGGCCTCAGCCAGGACGCCAAGCAGTCGCGTTCTCTAAAAGGGGAGCCCTTGGGGGTGGGTGACGGCAGCAGCTTGTCCTCTGCTGCCTCAAGCCCGTTCACCAGCATTGGGCTCACTCTTCTTATCGCTGCGGCCCCAGTTAGGTCTGATTATTTTATTGTTCGGACATACATTTGAAACTTTTCCATGGAGCGGAGAAGAGTAATAGATTCCTTACCTTAGTGTTGGCTGGCAAATGGAGCGTAAGCGTTTTGAAATATAATTATTGGTTATTTAGAGACAAGATTCAAGTTCAAATATGGAATGAGGAGAAAAAGTGGAGTATGAGCTCGTCCCGAACCGGAGGGTTGCCAGGTCAGGTATCCGACCTCTGTGCTTTTTACGCCGTGTACATGTAAACGCCTTTCTGTTCGGATTTTGCATTTTTCATGCAAGACGAGAAATTGCTCGCGTGTGGTTTTCTATTCCAAGTGGAGGACATGATGGCCTAAATTCTTACATGTTTTGTAGAGGTCACATGCTCCTTGGCATGAAAAGGCAACATTTAAAGTAACACAGAGCTGGCTGTCTCGTGTTTACATTTTGTTTCGCTGTTCAGAAGTAAATACTTGTTATGGATCTCTCCCCAGATTTGCACAAAGGGCAAGGTGCACATATTCAAGTACCTGAGCATCCAAGCCTGCCAGATGAAGACAGCCGACTCCCTGTACCTGCACTCAATGGACAGGCCGCAGTCCCAGCAGCACGTGGAAGACAGGTGTGCGCACCCGCCCTGGCTCCCCACCCCTCCTTAGCGTTTTCCTTAGGCCAACGTGGCCCAGGTAGCTCCCTCCAGAATTCTTCTGCGTTGATCAACCAGTGCAGATGCATAACTCAGAGCTTCAGAAACTTTGGGGACAGGAGAGAGAAAATCGATGCTGTTGATAACATTGTGGCATCTCTCAAATCTTATCTACTCTCTCTAATCAGAAATTAGTTGTTTTAGTGCCGTGTGTGTGTGCACGCTTATGTGTGTATAAAATATATATATATATGCTTATAAATAAGATCTGTAATATAAACAGATATTGATATTTTTTACTTATCCATTAAAACAACAACATCAAGCACAGACATGGCTTTTTTAATTGCTAATCCTTAATATGCCTGTGGAATGTTGGTAAGAAAAACTTCAGGATTTATTTTTTTAATTGCCTTTTCAAAATGCAGCGTGCACCGTTTTGCCACTTCCTGTTTAGAACGGAAGTGTTCGAATCCTTTCACATGTCCTGGGCCGTTTGCTGGCACAAATCGGGCCTTGTGTTTTTGGAGAACGAAACTCCCACGCTGAGCTCACTTTCGGACAGAGATTGGTTTAAGAAGTCCTCACTGCCGAAATCTTCCCTTAACGTTTTACTAAAAAAGGAAACTAGTGACTTAAAATCTCAGGCTACTGTAATGGTACCTTTACATAAAGCTTAAAATATGTTTTCATTACATTTTAAGACATACCATCAAATTTATGTAGTCACTATATTCCAGCTTACAGGATTATTCAAGATTGCCAACATTCCCAAACCTAAAAAAGCAATTAGGCAGTTTTTGCATTTTTATGTGCAAGAACCAGAAAAATAAGAAAATTGTTAACCTTTTGAAAGAACAGGCCACTTTGGTTAAAGTGTAAATTCATGAAACCCTGAACACAAAGAATTTATTTCGCCCTCTGTTCAGACAGTACAAGTATCTGGTTTTCATTACGTGAGGCCCTCACCGTAACATCCTTTAATGCCGAGCTGCTTTGTTGCCTTATGGCGATAATAAAAATGCGTAGCGCAGACTCATTATTTGAATGCGAGTCGGTGCATGTTGTGCACCGTGTGACTGTGATGTCTCCCCATGAACCCCACGCGGACGGCGCCTGCCCAGCAAGAAGGACTCTGATTCGGGCGTCGGGAGCGACAACGGGGATAAGCGGCTGTCGGCCACGGAGGTAACTACGCCCGTGATCCGGTCGCGACTTTGCTCTTTCTCTGCTTCTGGCTCGATCTGTTGCATGTCCTGAGCTCCTTTCCAATAAAGGGCATTGACCCCCTGCCCGGGAACATGGGAGAATGCTGGCGAAAGCAACACTTTGACATCCTCCTCAAGTGTTACGCAACGGCGAGCCGCCGTTAGCTTTTTCTGCATCTTGAATATTTTGCAAACGTCTCATCGTAGGCTTCCTGTCTCCTTCCCCTCCTCCCGTATCCCCCACATTATAGAGACTATTCGGGAAGGCCGAATAAATACTAAGAAATGATGAACCGATGTGCAAGTATCCGTGAGGCATTTTTAATAAATGCTTGTTTTTAAGGGGGAGAGCAAGTTAGGAAAAAGTTGTCGTAGGCATGTGTAAAGGCTCAGGAACCAAAGGTATATTGCGTTTTAGCAGTTTACCCCAAGGAAATGAGTTTATGGGTAGCCATAATTTTTATAGCAACATTTGTTTCCTGGAACTCCTTTTCAAATCATTCGGTAACAACGTTCACTTATAAGCGAAGAGGCCTCCCGCACTAGAACGTTCTAAAGTAGCTGTAAAATAGCTTATTTAGCACATGTGTTATCTCGTTCATAGCCTATTAGATACCCCCACGTCTTTCACTGCTCTGCCATGGAGTGTCTTGATCTGAGGAGCTAGGAGGGATAGGTGCGGGGACCCAGGTCTCCCCTCACTGAGGGAACTCACTGAGAGTTTTTGTGATTGTAGAACTTGAGACATTATAATCCTCTTTGAAGATACAACTAACAGGACAATTACTGCATCGAAGGAATGTCTTTCTTATGAGTTGACTCTAGGGAAAATGCCTATTTCCAGTTCTCTTCAGACCTTTGAGTATTAATACATACTTAAGGCATTTGAATTTACTTCCTCCCCCCAGTTTTTTTATAAAGCAGTGTATTAAAAGAACTGGGGTACCTTAAATTCTTTCTAATAGAACATTTCAAAAGGAAGAGGAGTTAGTAGGCAGAAACACAGGCCCTATCCATTAAAAAAAAAAAAAAAAAAAAAAGACTTCCGTGGAGCCACATGAATAGTTTACCATGGTTCCCGGGGGTGGGGGCGGGGGGAGAAAATACCCAACACATCGCTTTATAAGTTTCATTTAATTCAACCCCCTTAGCTTTATTAAAACTCGTGAGGCCCCTGAAATGCCCCATTGTTTCGGAAATTACTCACCCTAAGCTCATTTTCTGTTAAATTGAAACACACTCCACTTTCTCCTTTACCTGCCTTCCAAGGGTAAGTCCGCTAATGAAGCATTGCACAAAGAACTTCATTATCCTTGTGTTCTCACTGGGTGTAGGCGGGACACTAATACCATCCTGAAGGAGCAGGCCAGCAGCAAATTCCCTCCCTCCCTGTTCACTGGACGCGTATCTTAGGGATTCCGTGGAGTGTTTAGGGCAGGAGGGGGCTGGAAGGAAGGGCTGCCGAGAAGGTGACAATCAACGGAATAAAACGTTCAGACCTCACAGCATAGCCTCACCACCTGAAGACGCCTCCAAGAAATTTTTTTGTTTTTGTCGACTGAGTAAGGTTCCGAATTAGCCATTGTATTTTTCTGTTTTCATTTCGTTTGGCAATTTCTATGGCCAGTTGATCTTGCCCCCGAGTTATATCTCCTTGCGGGCTTCAAAGATCGCCCCTGGTTCCTTTTCTTGCTGTTGCCATTTACTGATGGATTTTGCATTTGTCACTAAGAAGTTAAAAAACACATTTTTCTCAAGATAAACAAGCCAAAAAATTGGGACCCCGTTGCACATCTGTTTACTGGAGGAAATGCGCGTTTGCTTCCTGCCAGCTTCCGAACAGTTTGGGCTCGCGTCCAAAAGCGAGGGAACACGGTACTCGGAAGTCGGAGCCTCGGGGGCGGGGGCGGGGGAGCATGCCGGCTCCGGGGGGCGGGCTCCCCATCCCTGAGGCTTGGAGCGCTTCTCACTAAATGACAACACTGACGTGGACACGTGGGAAGATCAATGAGGCTTCCTGTTTCGTTTGTGATGGAATCACAGTTTCTGAGTAAATGTCATCAACTGGTGAGGGGAGAGAGCCTCCCAGAGAGAACTAACCCTGATGACCAAGTCCAAGGGTTAATCCGAAAATTTCCCAGAACACATGTTCCGTTTCAGTCCTACAGTCACTTCGCCCTTTGATACACTAATGCAGTGTCCCTATTCTGAAATGGGAATAAATTGAAGCCTAATATATGAAGCGCGTAAAAGGCGCTATAAATAAATGTGACATTGTCACAGAAGTTGACTGGTCTGGTCTTTTGGGACAAGCCACATGAAACCCTAATGGAGTTGTGGTCAATTAGCATTGTCAGATCTCCCAGTAACATTGCTATTAACACACATGATTTGACTTGGAACCACTGTCATAGCGAATTTGCAAGTGTCCCTTTGATCTGTCGGGCGTCACACAGTTCTTCTCAGTCCCCAGACTGTGGCTCTTAGGTTAGAAAATATCCTACCGAATTGCAGCTCAGAACACGTACAGAGAAGCACGCGGGCATTAGCTCAGTGAATTTTGACAGAGTGACCCCTATGCCCAGCCCCCAGATCAAGAAACAGGCCCTTCCCAGCAGCTCGGAACACCTCACTCCTGCGACTCCCCCACCACAAGCCCAGAGCAGCCACGAGCCTGGCATCAAACGCCGTGGGTTAGTTTTGCCTGTCTTTGAACTTACTAAGTGGAGTTGTCCTTTGTCCCTGGTGTCTTTGACTCGATACTGTGCTTTTGAGAATCACAGCCTAATTGCTTTTCATCACATAGCCTTCGCTCGGCACCGACGGCCCTTCCCCTTCCCCTGAGCAGTGCCCTGTTTCTTTCCAGCCGTCGGATGAAGACGCAGTCAGCCTCAACGTCCCCATGTCCCACATCAAGGAGGAAGAGCAGGTTACCAAGGAGGACTCGTGCCATCGCCTGAGTTCAGCAAAAGGTCTGAGGGTGAACGTTGGGGAGGAAGGGCTCATGTTTAAGTTTCAAAGGCTGTGTTTACACGGTGCGCGAATGTGCCAGTAACGGCTAATCGGCGAAGGTGATCTCATTGCAAATTCAGAACTCGGAGGTGATCCCTCCGAGGATCTCAGTTTTGCAGAGGGCGCCGAGGAGGCTCCGAGAGCGTGGGCCCACCCGGTCCTGCAGCCAGTAAATAGTGACGCTGTGCCCATTCTGAAGATTTCGACGAGATCCTTCCAATCCATTATTGGAAAGAAAATATTCATTTGTCGGTATATTATCTAGGATAGCAGACCTGTGGTAACTGTAGCAATAGTAAATGAAATCCCCAAGTCTCATTGGTGTAACACAATCCAAATTAAGACCAAATAAGAGGTAGCGGTCGACATGCAGCTGCCCTCCAAGGGAGGAGGGAAGGCCCCAAGCTTCTGTCATGCTGTGCCTTCGCTCTCATTAACCCAAGACTTCCAGAGTTTCCGAATCCTTCTGTTTCACGGAGGAAGAGGAGGAACTCGGAGGTGGGCTCCCAGGAAGTTTTTACAGACTGAGCCCGGGAGGAGCAGCTGTCACTTAGAAGCTGGACCCTATGGCCCGGACACAGCTAACAATGTGTACGGCGGGAGGTGTGGTTGAGTTGTTCCCCTCACCTTGACCTTGGGCCAGTTAATTGACCTTAATCTCTCACCTGTAAGTGGTACGATGATTAGAGTAGGTGATCGCTAACAACTTCGGTAGCTTTAAAATTCTGCGGTTCTTTAATCATACCAGATGGTCACTGAGCGTTCTCTCTCTGGTGCTCCTTCAGAGTCTTAGCAGTGCATTTCATATCTTGCTGAGAAGCCCTCAGGGATGGCATGACTGTTGTTTTTTTTAGCTGCTGCCATTAATCCAGCGGTTTTAAAAGAAAAGACTGAGATACAGTATTTACCAGCTTGGGACAGAGACGATCTCATGATGTAGGACTGCTATAGAATTGAATGAATATGCACATTATTTCCCTAGTAGTTTGAATGCACTCTCCTTAGTGAGGGGAGAGGCACTTAAGCTGACTCAAGCTTTAACGTCGGCTTCCACGTCTTACATTTAGGCTTTAAAGGTGAGCACTTAAGTTTCGCATTTATGTTGGCCGAGATCACGATTGGAACTACATGTGATGCAAAAATATAACTGCGCGCTTTCTGCCAAACTCTAACCGCCACTTTGCTCATTTAGATAAGCTTTATCACATTATGCAGCATAGGAGAGAGTGTTGAAGGCACGTTTTTAAAGTAAAATAATTATATATTTTTTCATCATGATTTTTCCCCCCTGTGTTGTGGAAGCGAGTCCTCGGGTGGCCCTGCTTGGTCCTTCTTAGTCTTCAGACGAGAGAGAAGACCCCAGTGCCCCTTGCACCCCCCGAGGACGCTGTGCTCCCTCTGCGGCCTTCACCGTAGTCACATCCTTTGTTGTTAGGATTTGGGTTCTTGTCTTAGTTCCTTGAGGTTGTTTGCTACTTAAGGATCGCGCTTCACTAGTTTTGTTCTTTAATCCCTGCAATGCTGAGCAGACCTGCCGTTCAGTGGTGGCTCAGTAAATACTGTGGACTTCTGAATTTGCGGGAGTTTCACATCACCCATCACTGAGAGCACAAAGGCTCTCTTCTGCTTTCTTTTCTCTGGGCCTTGAAAAAACAAGACGCGCTTCCATTTCTTTCACACGGAACTAAGCCCTGTGGAGGCCTTGGACTTTGAGGTTCCGTTTGGGGCTTTCTGTTTCTTTTCCTTTTCTTTCTCTCCTTCCTTCTTTTTTATCTTTTCCTCCCATCCTTCAGGGAAGAGGAAACTTGGGCCGTTCGTTTACCTCCTTAAGAGGTAAGAGAGAAGATGGAAATCATTAGAGGACACGTTTGAGGGCGGCCTGTGCTTTGCTCCCTGTACGTGACTCATGCTTTCCCCTGGCCTCTGTGTTTTCCTAACAGGGGAATTTCGTCAGGAATTTTCACCTGAGGCTTCCCTGGTGAGCGACAGGAGCAACTCAGGAGAAGCAAGAGACCAGTTTACCCACGGATCTGACGTCCTCCGCCCGGAATTTATAAACTACATGAAGGCAAGTTGAGGATCAGCTAATCGTTTCATTTATTTACTTCTCTTTGGTTCAGGCTACCATCCGTCACCTTCAGCGCCAGCTCGCTGCCACCCTCCTCCGGCCTTTGTGACACCTGCTCGGTGGCCAGCAAGTTTCTTTCCCGCCCGGAGGAGCCATGCCCTCCCATGCAACGCCCCCGCCTGGCAGCACGTATATAGGATTTAGAAACCGCTCTGCTCTCTCTACTCGGAGCATCAAACCAGTGGGCAAACGTTGCCGCTCAGTAAAAGCCAAACCAGACCAGGGTCGCCTTCCCTCCCTTGCTTTCTAGGTGAACGCTTTCCTCAGGAGTCTGTCTGCAGCCGAGGGGGAGCAAGGGAGCCTTGCAGGCGCTGGAAGCGAACGTCTTCCCTTTGCGGAAGGCTCGCTCTGCGGGCACCGGCTCCCGAGCGGGAGTCGGTGCGATGCGGTGTTGGAAGGTTGGGGACACCTTCTGGGCTGTCAGGGCAAGCCCCCTCATGACAGCAGCAAAGAGGAGAGGAAAGCTAGCCTGTTAGGGAAGCTGGTAGTCGTGCCGTCACTTTGAGACACGGTTTGGTGCCTTGGGAAGTGTCTGCCAGTCTTTTTGGTTCAGATTGTGGCACCCGAGAATGTAAGGATGATTTATTTGGTAAAATTCAGATTCGTGCCCTGAGCGGTGTGGCTCACTTGGGTATTGTCCCGCAGAGCGAAAGGTCACTGGTTTGATCCCTGGTCAGGGCCGGTCGTGGGTCCAGTTCCCAGTCGGGGCACGTATGAGAGGCCCCCGATGGGTGTTTCTCTCTTGCATTGATGTTTCTCTCCTGTTCTCCCTCCCTTCTCCTCTCACGAAAAATAAATAATTAAAATTTTTAAGACATTCGGATTCGATGTGGCTTCTGAGAAATGGAGGCCTCAGGGTTAAAGCCAAGCACGGGGCCTCTAAGACCTCTTCCTTATTTCCCAAGAACTGGGTTATGACAGCGGGAGACTCTCCAAACTGATGTCTCCGGGCGTCACCTCCAAGGGCACACGGGAGGGGAATTGGTGACTTTCACACTGTGCAGTAAGTGCCCTGGTGCGTCCATGGGGTCTTCATGCTTCAAGATAAAAAATACAGACCCTGACATAGGACTTACATTTGTAGAAACTGAGATGATTTTAAAAAGTTACAAACGGGCATAGCTCAGAGTATCGTGCGTTTGGTTCCGCACCGCCATGATAAAGCAAATACCGCCGTTGGGCGAGCCCTGTGAACCTTTAGGTTTGCCGGGACATGCGAAAGTAAGTCTACACAATACTGTAGTCTATTAAGTGTGCAATAGCTTTGTTCTAAAAAACCCCACATACCTTCGTTTAAAAATACTTTATGGCCAAAAAACACTAACCAGCAGATGCACCTTCAGTGAGCCATACTCTTAGCTGGTGGAGGGTCTTCCCTTCAATTTGTAAAAAAATGCAGTATCTGCAAAGCTAAATAAAGTGCCGTGAAACGAGGTGTATCCGTAGAAGATCAAACACAGAAATCCTTAACTCTTTGTAGCTAATCCCTCATTAATCCATCAGGTCTTGTTTCAGAATATGTAGCAGCTACGGCCTCGTTTCTGTCCTCTGCTTCCGTTGACACCGCTTTAGTTGGGCTTATTGTGCATGACTTACTGGGCTTATAGTTGATGACGTGTCAGAACCTCGATGCAGAAAACAGTCCTCTTGGCTGTTGTTCCTTCCTCGCCCAAGTCCGTGCCTCGTTCGGGGTGGCTTCCGTGCTGGCGGCTGGCCGCTGGCCGCGTGACCCTGCGTCAGAGACGAGAGTGGGAGGGAGCACGTGGAAGCCCCAGCGGTCGGACACGCCTTCCCAATACTCCCCCCGCCAGTGTTGCTTTGGGAAAATAATGGTGGGGGCACGTTTCAGTGACATCGGGCCGCTCACACATGAAACCTATTAGACGTCTTTGGAGGCGTTTTCTGTTAAGTATTTCACGCATCCCTTCCCTTCCCCCCCAAAACCACACTTCTCACAAATGCGAGGATGCACATACTACGTGACGGGCAAGCCCAGCAGACGCCTCCATGAACATCGGGAGGTGCCAAGAGGGCAGTAAGAAATCACGTGTTACATTTCTGACAGTGAGCTAGCAGGGGCTGTGGTCCTAGGCCGGGTTTCCTTTTTAAAAAAATTTTTTATTTTTAATCATGGTAAAATAAATATAACGTAAAACTTAACCATCCTTGCCATTTTTAAGGGTAAAATTCAGTGGTGGTTAATTATTGCGTGGCAGCCATTGACACCATCCGTCTCCGGCACACTTTGCATCTTGTAAAACTGAAATCCTTTCCTCATTAAACAGCGTCTCCCCATTCTTTCCCCTCCTCCGGCCTTGGCAACCTTTCTGCTTCTCTGCTTACACATTTGACTCTCCTGGGCACCTCGGAACAGTGGAATCGTACCCTGTGTGTGGGTCTCTGTGTGTGTGTGTGTGACTGGCTGATTTCACTTGGTGCAACGTCCCGAAGAGGCGTCCGCACTGGGGCGTGGGTCCGGACTTCCTTCCTGTCTCAGGCTGACTGACACCCCGTGGTATGGGTAGACCCCACGCCGTCGATCCGGTCATTCACTGGCGGACACCGCTGCCTCCACCTCCCGGCTGTCATGAGTCACGCGGCCGTGAACGTGGGCCGGGGCAGCGTTCGACTGTTGACCGTTGATGGCCAGCAGCTCTCAGAAGACCCGTGTGTTCTGTCTGCAGGACAGGGCGGACGACTGCGAGGAGCCCTTGCGGATAGAAGAGGACACGCCCTGGCAGACCGAGGAGGCGTGAGTACCGGGGGTGCGCGGTGGATGAGCTGCTGCCCTGCGGGGTCCGCGGTTTAGGCAGAATGGACGCTACGTCGTGGTTGAACTCTGGTCCGCTCTGGGGGCGGGGGCAGGCTGACATTCTTACCCAAAGAGACGTTGCCAGCTTTCCTGTCTGATGCCGATTGTCCCAGTATTAGCGCAATACAGTGCAAGGCCACGCCTCTTCCCTGGCCCTGAGTTTTATCAGATGTGAGGCTGTAGGTAGAAACGTGATGCAGGGAATGAGATGGAATCTCTAACGTGGAGATTCTAGCTCCCTTCTGTTTGCGTGAAGAAGTCGACGGCGGGACCTGAAGCACTAATGGTTCCGCTGCCCTTTTGCCCCTGGGCTCTTCGGTTTCAGGATCTGAGAGAATCTCACGCGTCTCATGCCCGGGCCCCAGCCTAACAGTTGCAACAATAACTCGCCTTCATTAAATATCCTGCCCCGCGTCAGGCGGCGTCTTCAAGACGTCACGGGCGGTGACCCATTGCTGCGGTACCGCGGTCCTATAGATTCAGCTCGTACCCCCCCATTTGGGAGATGACACAGCCGAGGCACCGGGAGAGTCGTCCTTTTGCCCCGGGGTCCCCGAGCGCCGGGTCGGAGCTGAGGCGCCGCGCACCAGAAGCCATCCCGTCTGCTCTGGCCCCCGCGGGGACTCACCTGGCAGGCCCTGTCGGGGCGGGTGGGAGCCGTCTGCGGCGGCCGGGGGGCCGCTCCTGGGAACGGAGCGTGGGCCCGTGGCATAGAGCAGGATTCCGGCTCTGGGATTTTGTTTTCCATAGTGGGGCGTGTAGGCCTGACCTTCCCCCATACCTTAGGGGGTTTCTCCCCGGAGCGGGGATTTATCACGCTGTTAACAAATCTCTCCAGTTACGTCCTGTAGGGGAGAGGAGTTACCGCGATCACATCTCTCCCGCCCTTTGAAAGCATTAAAAAGTTCCTTTCCAGTCACGAGCCAGCATGACCAGCATTCACTGGGCCTCTGTCTGTGAGACCAAGGAGGCTTGGCTTGATTATAGGTTCGTAGAATTATAGGGAAAGAGGGTTTTTTTTCTTCTTTTTTTTTAACTATATAAAGCTTCAAAAACCCCATTCTTGACCCCGTGTCTGTGCTCGCCCTGGCCTGGGAGCCGGGACCGTCCGTGCAGCCTGAGGAGACGCCCGAGCCCCAGTCCGGCCTCCTGGGGGCGGCCAGGCCTGGCGTCGCTTTTGTTTTAAGGGCTGCAGGTGATCTTGCTGCACGTGGCGCTTAGGCCGAGAGGCCCGTGTTGCGTGAGAGCTGCACAGCAAAGCGACACCGGTCCAGCGGGCCTTGGGAGGGCTGGACGGGGTGCAGACCCGCCCGCCGAGGCCCCTGTGGACGCCCCCGCCCCCTGCCCGCCCTCCCCACCCAGGGCTCAGGAAGGCAGCCTGAGACCCCCCAGCCCGTCTGTTGTCAGGCTGCGCAGAGGAGCGGGTGGCCGCCAGCGGGCCCTGGGGCCGCGTGAGCGGCCTTGCGGCGGCGCCGCGCTTCCCCGACGCGGGAGCCTTTCTCCCCCATCCTGGCCGCCCGTCCCGCAGGGCAGCGCTGACACGTCCCCGCCCGAGGGCCGGAGTGGCCCAGATCACGTTTGAGACCCTGGATGGACGCGCGTAACTCCGCTCCTGAGAGGACGCTCCCGTTCTGTGATGGTGTCCTCCTTACCCTCGGCTCCTCCCTGCAGGGCGCGCCTGTCGGGGGGCCCGGAGGTGGAAGCGGCGGCGGCGGCGGAGCCACTGAGAGACGCAGGGGACTTGCCGCACGATCCCAGCAGGTGCGCCTGTCCCCTCGCCCCCAGCCCCGTGTGTGAACAATACGAACTCGTTCCTCGTCTCCCTTTACACAAACCTTGGTGCGCACAGTCGTTTTAACTGCCTGTTTCCTCAACATCCATGAGTAAGAGGCAAACTCCTGCAGGGATGGAGACCGGTTGCCCCTTTCTCCGCCCTTTAAAGAAATGTATTTGCTCTTCTGAAATTCATGGGTATTTAATTTTTTTCATGGGTATGAAATTTTTGGTATACTTCTTAAAAAAACAGAAGTAGGGGGGAAATGCGTGTTTTGTGTTGCTTAAAGTTTAAATCTCAGATTTATAGAGCTTCAAGGGAGATCTTCCACAAAGGGAAGAACTGTTATATCAAGTACTACCATATTTATTTGATGCCGGCAGAGATATGTGTTAACTAAATAATACATTTCTAACGATTTGGGTTGCAGGGTAATTTTAAATGGACTTGCCCATTGTCCAGCGCAGGCCCTGGGTACAGTAGATTCATTTTTTGGTTGCATAGTTAAGGATAATGAACTTCTCAATGCACAAAATATTTTCCAGTAAGACAATGTGCTTAGTAGCACGTAATAACTCCTTTATCCCTGGAGACATAGATCCCATGCTTATCCCTGCTCAGCTCTTCAGGGGTCTTAGGAATTTAAATTATGACGATGATGGGCTCTTGTCATGGGGCGAACATGGAAACCACACCCCAGCCACCTCCCCTGGCTCCTGGGAATCTTCCAGAAGATGGTTAGAGAGCATATACCCCCCACCTCGTCCGGCCCTGAAAAAGTTGTGATGGGTCAGATAGAGTATGACTGAGCATCTTTAGCCGTTGACGTGAAAAGCATTTGGATTCTGCAGATATTAGTTGGGTGCTCGGGGCATGGAAGATGTATAGTTTACCCCTTGGGGGATATTAAGATGAACAAGACACGGCTGTGAAGTTCCTTCTAAGAACTTCAGCTGCCGTAGATGGAGTTTGCCTGAGCAGTTATTTTTTAAGTGTAATGGATTTACATCCTTAAAAACTGATCGACTGAAGCGGGCACCGGACCCCCGCCTTCCTGAAAGGTTGGGCGTGAGCCTTGAATAACTAGCACTTCGAATGGGAGAGAAAATTCTGGATTGACTGGAAAGCTTGCGCTGGGGAGTGGAGGTCAGAGAGAATGGAGCGCGCTTTGAAAATCGCAGGCAGATAGGACAGCCTCCACCCTGGCCGTGCCTCGGGGTCCCTGGTGGCCTTGGGAAACACAGACTCCGTGACGTCGCCTGCAGAGCAGGGGCCTGGCTGTTTCCAGTCCAGAAAGCAAGGCCAGGGCCTGTGAGGTGCCGGCAGCCCTGAGCGTCATGGGGGGCGTCGGCGGGGGTGGGGGGTGCCGCGGACAAGGTCGGACGCTGTTGGGAGGAGCCGAGACTTTATTTTATTATACGTAGAGGGAGGTGATGATGGTTAAAGAAATGAGATTATTTGTGTGGCTCATGCTCTTGAATCTTTGGTTTAGGCCTAGCTTTATACTGAGTGCCTAATCGCAGCATGTTTTTTAGAGAGCTGAGTGTCACATCCTAAACCAGGGGTGTTAGTGACCAAAGAGCTTGTGTGTGTGTGGGCGGGGTGAGGGGGGAGAGAAGTACTTAGCTTTTAGGGTTGTGAGGATTTGAAATAATATATAAACTACTCGTGGGAAGATAAATGGGCAAAACCATTCCAGAAAGCATCCTAGTATTAATAGTATGTAGTTGCAGTCTACTAAAAAATTATAGAAACCATCTGTTTAAATGAATTCTAAAAATTTATCCTAACGGACAAAGGATATGAGGAAAGATTGTGAGGGGGGAGGTGTTTTTAAAAGCAAATATTTGGGAAAAGGGAAATATATTTTGGTAATTAACAAGGTGGAATATAATGCAGCCAAGGTAATGTTTTTTAAGTTTCCAATATATTTTAGAATGCACATTATATAAATGTTAGTGTTAAAAAGTGTATATAGTGCATAAAGTTTGATCCGAATTCTATAAAAAGAATTAGGTTTCAAATATGTAAGAAGCTAAGAGAAACAATTAAAACTGGAAGGAAATATGATGGGCATTTTTCGGTAGGTATTTTGTAATACATTCATATACGGTGGATACTTTCATGTATTGTGGGAACTGTTCTTCTTGTGTCTTCTCTGCTGATCATTTGAAGTGGGTGGCAGGAAGCCGGGAGGGAGCGGTCCCACGTGTCGTAGACCCGAGCCCGTGGCATCTCTTCTGGGAAGGGGCACCAGGAGGGACAGCAGCTTTGAAGGGGCTGTTGGGGTCAGCTAGGACGCGCTGAGTAGTCACCACGGCGGCGGTGTGGCGATGCGCATTCCGCTGCTGGATGGCTCCTCCTGGGACTTAGAGATTTAAGTCTGAAGGTCGGGCTCCCCAGGTGATGGAGTAGCAGTAGCTGTGTACGAGGCTGAGGTTCTCGAGGACAAGCAGATCGAGGGGAAGGGGTGAGAGGCCAGGTCAGGGTGTGACAGAGCCGGCCACTGCGGGGCTCAGACTTTATGTTGTAACGCATCCGTCCACCTTTGATGTCTCGGGTCCCTTTCCCAATGAGTTTTTCCTGGATGGATGACTCTCTGAGCCCCAGAGCAAGCAAGAGCAGTCCACAGAGCGGGTAGCAGCCGTGGCAGGGGGCGGGACCAGGACCCAGGAGCCAGTGGCCTGTGCTTCGGGCCTCAGCCCTGGCCCCTTCACGGGCGGTGGACGCACCGAGGGTCCCGTGACCCCTCCTACCGCCTTTGACATGTCAGAGCAAGCGGGCAGGGCAGGCTCCTGTCCAGCTGTGGAGGAAGCAGCTCTGGGTTGCCTTCCGAGCGGCGTTTGAGTGGCATCTCTCCAGGATGATATTTCAAAATGATAATTATGTTTGAGAGTGTGGAACGGACTTCATGTCCTCCCCGAGAACAGTCCTCTGGTTTTGCTGCTTTAGGCCTTTGCTGTTCGCCCTGGGGTAGTTATTATAAGACGATTCTAACTTTACTGCAACGCTCCTGCGCGCCAGTCCTGTGCTTGCTCCTGATAAAACGTGGGCGCTGCAAGAGGTTCCTCAGTTCCCGCCGCTCGGGACCGAACGTCAGGCACGGAAACGTCACCTACACATGGGATTTGTTCCTTTATCTCGTGTTTCACAGATTGAGACTTTCTGTTGATAAACCTATAAAGTTTAATCATAGGCTTATCTCTTAGACAGTCTTCACATCAAAAAATCAGGTTGTTATCCTATTTTGCCTTTATCTTGGTTTCTTAAGGATTTCCAGTAGTTGGTTTGATACCATTTTTCAATAAGCATGTATCGTATGAACTCCTTCCTGCCTTTTATTTTTTTAATTATATTTTATTGATTATGCGTTTAGTTTTCGTGATTTTCCCCCTTTGCTCCCCTCCAGCCAGCATCCCCCACTTATTATTAAAACAATAATAAAATATTGTTCCCACCTTTGAAAATAGCTTTGTTACTTCTATACAACTTGCAGAAATTCCTGGTTTTAAAATTTCAGAAACTCAGAAGCTAAGACCATTTCAGAAATAAAAATGCATATCAAATTGCTTATGGATTCTTTTATTTTAAACAAAGTACCCTTGGTACATAAACCATAATACAGTATTTTTACTTGCTTCCATAAATTAATCAAGTTGTAGAACCAACTTTATTGTGTGCTACTTATGAATATTATGACCAACAGCAGTCAGATAATTATGTTAAAATTATATTAAATTTGGCACAGGATAGGAAAATACCAAGTAGTTTGAAATTTCTACCGCTAGCCTTTCATTACTTGATCCTAATGGTAAACATAACTTTTTTTAATACATTAAACTTTTAGACTAAACATGACCCAAAGCGGTAGGGTTTATTAAAAATGTAGTAAGTGTGCTAACGTCTCCCCTCCGCCCCCCTGCGCGCCCTCCACCCCCCGCCCCCCAGCTTTAGATTGAGCACGGACGCCGCAGAGAGAAGCTCTGTGCACTTTCGGCCCAATGAATCCACAGGAGCCTTCGAAATGCAAGACTCTGCACTCAAGTACGTTGACCTTTTCCAAACGGAATGTTTTCCTTTTTTACTCCGAAATGAGTATGCGTTAACTTCCACTCTCTGTTTTTTCCCCCCGCGATCCCGCAGCGGTGAGATGCAGCTGGAGACCTCTCCGGGGTGCGAGGTAAGGCTGCCCGTGGTGCGGGCAGAGCTCCACGCAGAGCTCCACGCAGCTGTCCACCCCCAGGCAGTGGCGCCGCGTTCTAGAACACTCCTCAGCCCGATATTCAGCTTCGTTCAAGAGCTCTTTTTGAGCTTTTTTTATACTTTACCCTCTTTAGGGCTCCTGTTTATCTGTTACATTGCCCTTCCTATTCAAGTTAAGCATTGGCTGTTTCCATTAAATTCTCTGAATTTTGGGGGGTCATGAAATCTTGCCCCATCAGGGGGTAGCAGCCGAGATCCCCAGGGCACCTGCTCGGTATCAGAAACGGGAGGGAGGGCCACGCCATGCAGATTTGAGAGCTCGGAACGGAGGCTGGATGCTGGCCAGGTGCAGAAAAACTAGGAGAGACATGAAAGACGAGCACAGAGGATTTGGGAAATGCCCGGGAGGGTTAAAAGAATATAGCAAAGCGAAACTGGTGGGGGCCCTGGAGGAGAGAGCGGGCAGTGTTACCTTGGGTGAGACAGGTTGCCACCCACTCATATTTCGTCCCTTCTCAGGGAGTGCTTGGGAAGGCTAATTGCAGTACAAACCGATTTCTGTCCCCTGAGGTGCCTGAGCTGTAGCAAAGCAGCTTCACACGCGACTAGTGAAGTATCTGTGTTGAATGAGGGGGGAAAGAACTGCAGGTGAACAAGCCACGTCCCCAGAGCACATGGGCTCCTGGTGAAGACTTGGAATCAGGCTGTCTCAGCGGCGGCTCAAAGACTTGCTGGCTCGGGGCGACTAGGGGCGACCTCTAGAAACTCCACCTTCGTTTCCTGTACTTTGGGCTCGGCCACCCAGGGACCCTCCGCGGCAGCTGGCGCTCTGCCTCTCCCGCTCCGTCACTGTCCCTGGTGTGGTCCGTAGCCCCCGTGGCTGGCCCTCCGTCCCCGCCCCCGGGGCAGGCGGCCTGGTGTCACCCAGGAAGGGAACATCAGGGAGTCTTCTATTTGAAAGTGCCCTGGCCCAGTTCACCGAGCTCCTTTCAAGATGTGATACTTGTGGTTCTCTGCAGGCCCACTTATTATTTTCTTTTAAAACCTGCTTATTTGGAAATAATCTTAACCTTCTAAGAGTTGGGCAGGAGGATTACAAGGTTCTACAAAAGGTTACAAAAACTTACCACCTTTTACCTAGATTTACTATGGTTAACACGTTACCATATTGGCGGTCTTATTTATTCTCTCGGTCTCTTCACATACGTAGTTCTTTTTTCTGAAGATTAGAGGGTGGTTTTCATACAGAAGCATTTCAGTGTATATTTTCTAAGAATAGGATCTTGTCTTACAAACCGTAGTTATCAACTGGATACGTTTACACTGATAAATCACCGTCCGTGTTCCAAATATTTGGGTTGCACTAACGCCATCCATAGTGTTTTGCCCCTTCCAGTGTGGTATCCGGTCTAGAGGCAGGTAGTTGTTAGGTATCTACAATTTCTCTTATTCTGGAACATTTCTAAAATCTTTCTGTGCTTTTCATGACCTTGAAATGTTGAGGAATATAGTCCCCCCCTTTTTTTTAAGGTGGGATGCCCCATATTTTGTAGAACAAAAGCCCCTCATAATTCTTCATGATTAGCCTGAGTTTCCGCCTTTTTAGGGGCCACTGCCCAGGTGGTGGTGTCTTCTCGGGGTCACATTTGTAGACACACTGTGTCCATCTGGGCCTCATCGGTGATGTTAATTTGATCACCTAATCAAGGTGACTTCACTGTATAATTACTGTTCGGTTTATTTCCTTGCAACCAGTGAGCAGTCAGGGAAGAGGTACTTTGAGACATTCTTAGTGTCCAGCAGCGAGACCCACTTTTGACTCCAGTGTCCCCAAAGCCCACCTGTGTGCATGGCTGTAGGAGGGCCAGGAAGACGCAAAAGCTCGAGAAAAGAGAGAACTCCGCTCCATCTCTGATGTACAATGTTTGTGTTAACAGAAGCTCTTTTTTTTTTTACCCCTTTTTGTTTGTACGAGGAGTCATTTGGTGTAGGAAATCGTTACGCATTTTCTTCCCTTTCTAGAGCGCTTCTCTGTTTGTGACAGACCTGTCTCGATTTTAAAAAAGGGAGGTAGTGTTAGCGGGCTCTGGTGGCCAAAGGAGTCACGAGGAGGAGGACGAGAAATAGCCAAGGATCAGCCAGGGCTAATGATTACACAGACGTATCAGCGTTGGGGCTGTTTTTTCAAGGGCACTCCTCAACAATAGGGATAGGAAAGGACATCTTAAATTTATAGTAATTTGGTGTAGTATATATGAAGATGTTCATGTTAGCCATCACCAAGTTTTTTTATTAAGGTGCATTCCTGGGGTTCTTGATACCATATAAAGAAGGTGGAGCTGGGTAAAATAACCCATTTGTTGTCAAAGGAGACTGCGTTGAACGGGCAGCCTAAGATTTTCCTGGGTCACCTGCGTCCCGGGCACGTACACTTACTGAAGGCTCCCAACGGGAGTCTGTGTGTTTGGGACCTGTGGCCTTGAACCGTTTCTGAGAGCCTGCCGTCGAGGCGGCGTGAAGCCTTGGGGGCTGACCTCCCCAGGTGGTTCGGGCTGACCCCTGCTCTGGGAAACCCCTTTGCTTAGTTTATGTGAGGCTTTAGATACATTTTTCTGTGACTACACCTGCATGTTTTTAGAAAACGTAAGTATAACCTCCTTGGCTACTTAACACACTAATTAATTAATTCAGCGTGTACTCAGTGCGTGCCTACGTGCCAGGGGTGTAAGGGAAGCAGGAAAGACCCAATTCTTGCCTCACGAACTGGATTGTCTCATGAAACACCCCATGCATTTTTTCTTCTTTAAGGTGCAAGATGACCTGGCATCACAGAGTAACGGGAGTGACTATTCTCCAAATGAGGCAAGTGTCCTAAAGATTGATTAAAACGGAAGTATCCTGCGAAGGCTGAATTGGAATATCTTTTACAGAAATAGTCTAAGACCGTCCTAGTTAATGAGCTGATTGTAACAGACTCTCTGCGGGGATCTTTCATTAGCGAACAGAGCCTTCTCTGGCCCTCTCCATAAATAGAGGTCAACTTTAGGAGATATGGTTTGAAAACCAAATAGGGGAACCATCTTTATAGGAAGCAAAGCGAAAAGAGTCCTGCCCGACGGCACAGAGCAGGTCTTGTGACCCCGGAGGGGAAGCCCTGTGGGGTTTCCCGGTAGATGAGAGGTCGTGTTCTCCATGGCTCCGCCTCTCCGCGCTGCGAGATGCTTCAGCAGATGTGCCGTCTGGGAGGTGGATGGGAGCGTGTGGGCACGTACGTGTGCACCTGGAGCAGAACAGCACCGCCAGTTTCACGGGATTGTAAAATACTGTAATATCCAGCCAATAAGAGATTGAATGGGTCTCCCCCTACACAACAGTCTGCGGGCTGTGCCACGTCAGGCAGTTGCCCTGTGAAGGTGCACTGGTAATATCGTTATTTGGTTAGGACTTAATCGCACAGCAGCGCAGGCCGAAGGTGGAGATGGTGTTAAACTCCGTGAGTGTTGAGAAGTGTGTATAGTTCTGCTTCCGTTGGTGGGGGTTTTTGTTCGTTTGTTTGTTTGTTTTTATAAAGTGTGCTTTCCTTCTAACATCTCAGGTTAGAGAGAACTTCCCTGCAGTCTCTCCCGCCACCCACAGCACAGCTCCGTTTGGCCTGAAGCCGCGATCAGGTAAATCTAATCCCCCACCCTCCTGAGCTCGGAAACGGCTCCGTGGTTCCCCCTTAGCTTCCACGCGGTCACAGCCCCGTCCGCGCCGTGGGTGAGTGTGCGTGCCGCCGCCGGAGCCCGGCCGCAGCGTGGGGAGGCCGGACGTCAGAGCCCTGTTTTCGGTGATTTAATCCTTGAGTCTGTGTCACCAGGAATAGATACCGGACCTCCTTTTGAATCAGAGCAAAGAAGAATGAGGGGCTGGGGCACGTAAGTGAGGAAGAAGTTTTCTACTGAGTCTTTTAACCCAGGGGAGATGAAACGGCTCTCCCTTTGCCCTTGTGGTTCCTGGTGCCTGCAGGTTCCCGGGAGGCCCCGGGCAGGAGTCTCCTCTCTGACACCCCCTCCCTGGCTGTCTGGCCCTTGGCAGGGTCGGAGTCCTTACTCACATAACAGGGTGACGGATGATTTCAAGGCTCCCGTGACTGGCCAGGAGTTTTTGTTTTTGTTTTTTGCTTATAGTAGCAACTTTTAATTTCTTATTAGTATAATCACAAATGTAAATTAATATGCAGAATAACTGTTGATTTTAAGAAGATGGACTATGTATAGACAAATTTGGTTCTTCTGATTTCGACACGTACTTAAAGTTCTGGCACTGCCTAGCTTCTTTTCGGTCCTTCTTTGTTTTCATATTTTTTGATTCTTAGATGTTTTGCGTAGACTCAACTGCTAATGCTTTTCACTAAGTGCTAAAAAGGACTCAAGTACTTTCAAGAACTCAGATATTCTTGGGGATTTCAGCAAACCTTTTTGATAACAGAAGTTAGATGTGTGTATTTTGGAAAGGGGATCCCACAGGAAAAAAACAAAGATAGTTTTTCTATAAAGGAAGTGTTTTTTTGTTGTTTTTTTTTAATTTTTGGAGCAAGGTGACCGGTGGGTGGGGGACCGGTGGCCAAATGTGAGGGCTTCCTCGCTGCAAGACAGAGCTATTGGAGGCGGTGCTGGGTGTGGCAAGGGCTGTTGGTAGGTGTCTATAGGAAGGTGTTTGCTTTGTTATGAAATGAGTGCAAGCGGTTGGCCACCTCGCTTTGGACTGAGCACAAGCCAGCAGACCTGGGCCATGTGCTGGGCGGGACGGGGGTCGCTCAGGGCACATGTGCTCGGTGCCTTCAGGGACAGCCCGTCCAGAGAGTCACCGTTACACACTGAGGGCCTCCCAGGAGGTAACAGACTTTCTCCCAATCCTTACAAACGGTTTTATACAATTTTAAAATAAATAGTTTCTAATTGATGGAGTCAAAAGTTGAATCAATCTTTAAAAAATAATATTCTTTTGAATGTCCATCTTTGCCATTTAGGTGTAAAATTGTCTCAGTGAGTTTTTGTTCCTTGTGTGGAGTCAAAACTCAGTTTGCCAATATGGTATTTGTCCGGTTAAACCAAACAATTTTGGATTCTTTGTAGCAGTGGAAAATAAATGGGGTATTTATTTTGAATAGCAGAAAACAAAGACAATTTCCTTCCCAAGCTTCCAACTTTTGTAATGCTGACTGACGAACATGGAAATTGTTCTAGTCGTTGAAAGCTCTGTAGACTTGTGTTGCTATAAATAATGCTGATTTATCTTCAGAACATCAAGTAGATTTTGGAGCTTTATAAACTAGCATTATGTATTGGGAGTTTTAGAAATGTTATTTAACAATTTTAAAATACTTGTAGTATGTATTTTTCACATTTTCTAGAAAGTCATATATACAGTTGTCTTCATTGAAGATGATATAATTCAAGAAAGTAGAAATTCATTTTGATTGAGTAGCTTTGGAACTTTTAAAAGCCAATTAATTTTAATTTTAAAATTCAGTACATGGATTTATGTGATTTCTGTGTTATAAATAAAAACAGCCTGCTCAAATCAGCAAGTGGGAATAAGAACTTAGATCCTTAAAGTAAGCTGATAGTTACCTTTAAAGAAAGTATTTTTTCTTTCCTATGTTTTCCTCCAAAGACAGACAACTGTATGTACCCAACTATTTGTTTCTAGAACCATGCCCATTTATTTTACTGCCCTTCCCTTATAATTGAGTAATATTCCTATTTATTGTTCACATACATATTTCCCAAACATACAATTACTATGTGGAAATTTAGTGCAAAAAAAGATGTTATCATGGCATAAATAACCAACTCAGAAGTGCCTGAAGTTGACTGGCATTTATTGGTAAATTAGATTTGTTGTTAAAGAGACTGTACTAGTGTCCAAAATTGTTTTTATTAGTCATAAATATTGAAGACAGTCTTGCGAGAGATGTACGTCAAGAGATGTACGTCAAGCGTTGAGGAAAGACGAGGCTACATTCACATTCACCTGTCCATAAGGAAGCCAGTAGACCCCGATGTCTTCAAAGAGAAATTTACATTGCCTTGGGGAAATACTCACAATAGTAAACACCGAGGCTGTAATAGTTTCATTGTTAAATAATAGATGTAGCTGCACAGATGAAGCTTGAACTGTGTAACCAAATTGTGTGAATGTATTTGCTAAGATTGTTATTTAGAAGGCCTTTGAAAAAAGGTATCTGGTAGGTCTTTCCCTTTTTATCTGTAATCTCTGGGTACCCTTTCTCTCTGCTGCCGTGGTGCCCTGTGGGCTTGGGGTTCTGTTAAGATGAACGATGTTAACTGCATGCAAAGTCTATGACTGATAAGTACTAACCCTCCGTTTTTATCATTCTTTTTATCCCACGCGCCATCTTTCATTCCTGTTGTTGTCCATTTGAAATTAAATCCCGTCCTGTGAAACCCGCCTCATTTCCATCCAACCCCTATGCCATTTGTGACATGCCGCCGCCCCGTGGTCTGTCCCGGTCCTTGGGCAACGCCGCGCGGACTGGCTCCCGCGCTCTCCCGCCGCCCAGGTCTCACTCTCCCTATCTCCTCCAACACACTTACGCAGGCACAGACATGGGACCGCTCTAGCTACAGTGTTCCATCTGAAGGAGACAGTGACAATGGTAGGTGGCTTTGTACCTTTTCTCCAATGTGCTTATGAATCCGCCGATGAATAGACTGAAGCTAGAGCCCTACTCACGCGCATGCCCGATAGGGGAGATGACGAGGGGACCGGGAAGGGGGGGCCCCCCCGCCGCGAAGTGCATGTGTCCTCCGCCAGCAGCTCGTCAGGCTGCCCTGCGCTGCCCCGACTGTTCCGAATGCGGGGAGGTCTGGGCAGCCATGTCGTCTCTATTTTCTCAGCTTGGGTTTTTTTCTGTTGTTGTAGTTTTCTTTTTTTCTTTTTCTTTTCTTTCTTTTTTTTTTTTTTTTGGCTTGTTTGCTTGTTCACAAAAATCTGGGGCTGGCACATTTGGCTCCTCTCTGCTTGCTCCCGCATCTGAACTCCGTGCTTTCAGAGTTTGGTCTTTCATGATCCGCGTTCACCGTGGGAGATGGTTTAAGGTAACTGAGATGCGCCGTGGCTGACCCCGGAGCGGCATGCTGAAAATACTGTTAACATGGGGAGATTTCTAAACATGAAATCACTTGCCTTCTCTTTTTTGTGTGTGGTTTTGCAAATCACTTGCAGATTCTGACTTTTGAAACCTTCTACCTTTTTGAGTGTAAGTTCATCTATATAACAACATCCAAGAATAGTAACTTGGCCTGAGAATCAAATGGACTAATGAAAATTGAGGACACCTAGCTGGGATTAGTGTTGATATCTTTGCATGTCCTTAAATATTTTAAATAGCTCCTGAGATGAAAATAAAATAAATATAATTATTGAGAGCCACATACCACCTATAGTTGGGTCGCTATTCTAGTGTAAATGAGCAGAGTGTGGTTCACAGGGAAGGGAAGTGAGATAGAAGATATACCCACAATGCCAACGCAATAGGAAGATCTGTTCCCCAATAATACTTCTTTTTTGGAATTTATTTAAGTGCGTTATATGTAATACATAGAAAATATATATTTCAAACATTGGCCGTGATTTCTGGTCAAAATTCAGCCAAAAATGCTTTTCCAGTTTTCTTCTGTGGAAAGCTATATAGATCCTGGTAGGTCAGTTATAAAAGAGATTTCATTACTTCATATCTTTCTAAGTTTCTTAATTGAAAATAAGCTGGATTAAACAACAGCAACACCACAGAGGTCTCACCTTATACTATTCTGTTTTCAATACCAGAAGTTAAGGAGGGTTAAATAGAGACTTTCTTGATAAACTGCTCCTTCACTTAAAAATAAAAAAAGGAGGGAAAAGGAGCATTTTCGTTTTTCAGGAAACATGGCTGTTTGTGGATCTGATGTCGTTTAAAGGGACTGAAGCCTAGAATGAGAGATTTATGTGTGATTTGGTATTTCCTTAGGAGTGATAAGCGAAACCAAAGGACTTTCTGGGGGTAGTTTTGTTGTTTTTTAAGCTGGAAAAGGTGTAGACATCTTAGGTAACAGGAGACTACCTATCCTTATAGATGAGCCAAGTAAAACCAGAAAGGTGAGGTGACCTGTCCAGCCACATTGCCAGGCAGCGAGAGGAGATAGCGGTGCACCCGCCCGGGCTCCTGACTGTCCACACGTCTGCGTTCCTTGCCTAGCTGCTCGCTGCGGACTCTGTGCACATGACGAAGGCAGACTGCCTCTCTTTTTCATTCATAATCCTAAGAATTCACAGGAAATAATGGCTGTGGAAATCTTTCTGAAAATAAACTCACCCTGCAATACTTACTTGGTACTTTGTGTACGAATGAAATCTTCAGGAGCTCACATATGGCAACATATGGGCTTGTTTTTCCACATTTGTGTGGCTCGGTCCGTCAGCCACGTCAGATGTCTGATCGATGGCTGTGATTGATTCCCGCGTACGGTGTGTCTATAATGTGCCCTGGGCAACAGACAATTTTCTGTGCAGACTCGTCTTTACAAGCACTAGTCTGGGTTCCCAGACCTGATCTTTTACACGCACCTTCATTCTCTTTGTGACAAACGTTGCCTTCTGGCATGAATATATTTCCCGTTAC